TGGGTTACCGTGGCAACGCTCCGCGCGGCACGCAGACCGGGAGATTTACACTGGGAGACGAACAGAGCTGCTGCAAAGGTAAGTAACAGCTTGCTGCCGGCCCCTCGACTGCACAGCCCATGCCAATGGACCACCAAGGAATGCCATAGCCCCCCTCCCTGGCCAGGTAACAAGCAGGGAGGGGGGACAAAAACATATTTAACACAATTAAATATTTAACACAATTAAATATTAAAACAATAAAAATATTAAAATAAAATAATAATATTAAAATATTAAAAATGACCTCCCCCCTACCCAGTTTACACACACTACAGAAACACACTCTGCATTATATACACACACACTCTGCATTATATACACACACTCACACACACATTCATTATATACAAACACTACACAAACACACACACACTCTGCATTCATTATATACACACACTACACAAACACACACACACAGCATTCATTATATACACACACTACACAAACACACACTGCATTCATTATATACTGTAAATAAATATTCAATTAATTTAATTTTATTGGGATCTAATTTTATTTAGAAATTTACCAGTAGCTGCTGCATTTCCCACTCTACGCTTATACTCGAGTCAATATATTTCCAATTTTTTTTGTGGTAAAATTAGGTGGGTCGGCTTATACTCGAGTATATACGGGTAGTTATGTTTCCAGTTCAGATATTCTATTCTGAAATTCAATTTGAATTCCCAACACTTCTCACTTTAGTAAAAAACCCAGAAAGTATCAGATCGACCTTTCTGTACTTTGGTCTTCTCAGACTTCAAACAAATCTAAAAGTATGGACTGGTTTATAGACTTATGTTTGCAGTGGCCCTGAACCTCCCATGTGTCTGTTGGACATTCCATGGATTATCCCTTCATTGACCTACCCTATGTTTTCAACTAGTCTTTGCACCTCTGGAATTCATGTATCTACATACATTTGATGAACTCATGATCAAGGCTGGGAGAGAAAGCCATTATGGATTAGGACTGATTGCATTGACCCGCGGCATTGGGTGCACATAACATTGCAGTATAGGGCAAGCTGTTTTAGAGTCCCCTGTGCAGGGGTTCACCCGGTCCCTCCAGTCTTTCCTTCCTGGGATTCCTGCCTCCTCATGTGCCTAACAGCATGTGGAAAAAGAGAGGTACTCCAGCCAACAGAACTTGAGTCTGTTGCTCCCTTGCCCTAGCTGTCATTGCCATAAAATTCTCGTCTACTACTATCATCGACTTTATCCATTTACTTATTGGGGGTGTACACTGTCTACGCCAATAGAGTGGGAGGACTGCTTTAGTTAGGTTAAGCATTTATGGAACTACTGAGTTTTTGTATCGTGATTGATACTGAGTTATAATGCAACAACATTGCTGCTGGATCAGATGCAATTGGGTCATCAGAGAAGTGCTCAATCACAGTGTAGACCATGGGTCGTCAACCTGGCCCCTACCGCCCACTAGTGGGCGTTTCAGGATTCCAGGTGGGCGGTAGGGATTTCGGAGGCTAAATCCTCTTTTTAAGAGGATTTCTCCTTTTGGGCGGGCGCGAGCGGCTCTGCGTGCACAAATCTTCAGTGACCGGCAGGAGGAAGTGCTCCCTCCTGCCAGGCCACCTTCTGGACCCCCCCGGCATGGCAGAGTTCTAATCAGACGCGGCGAGGGAGCTCTAGCCTCTCTGCTCTGCTCCCTCGCGCAATGTTTGCTGATGCCGCGGGAGCCGGAATATGACGTCATATTCCGGCTCCCGGCATCAGTAGACAGTCCGCGAGGGAGCAGAGCAGAGAGGTTAGAGCTCCCTCGCCGCGTCTGATTAGCCGCCCGCCGAAGTGAAGCCCCACTGGACCCCAGGGACAGATCCACACCAGCTCTCCAGGTAGGGAGGCTGGGTGGACATTTAATATTAATAATTTGTATGTATATGTGTTTGTCTGTCAGTGTATGTGTGTATGTGTGTGGGTGTGTGTGTCATTAAGTGTATGTGTGTGTGTGTGTCTGTAAGTGTATGTGTGTCTGTGTGTGTGTCTGTCTGTAAGTATATGTGTGTGTGTGTGTCTGTAAGTGCGTGTGTGTGTGTGTGTGTGTCTGTAAGTATATGTGTGTGTGTCAGTGTGTGTCTGTGTATGTGTGAGTGTCTAAGTGCATGTGTATGTGTATATTTGTGTGTATGTGTTTCTATGTGAGTGTGTGTGTGTCTGTAAGTGTATGTGTGAGTGTTTGTCTGTGAGTGTGTGTTTGTCTGTGAGCAGAGTACTTGTAGAATAGAAGAAAGAAGGTGCAGAGTACTTGTAGAATAGGAGAAAGAAGGAGTAGAGTACTTGTAAAAAAGGAGAAGGAAAGAAAAGGAGAAGGAGAGAATTGTTGTTGACTAATAATAGTAAGTGGGCTACCTAGCTCAGCCTTCCTACTGGGCATTGCTATAAGTAAGGTTAAAAAATAGAAAAAAGGGGAAAAAAGGTGGGGAGGGGAATTGAGGAGGGAGAGGAGGGGAGCTGACGCACAGATGAGAAATCATTTTACGAGCAAACAAGAAGTCTTCTGATTATCACCGAAAGAGGAGACCTTCGTTTGTTCCTTACAAAAATCTAACCAGATATCAAATATTTAGTCTCGCAGCATCAACTCATTAATCACTAGTAAAGGTAATTTCAATTTACTTTATTGCTTCCTCATTAAACTTTATAAAGTTAAAAACATTATAAACATGCATAAAGTAGAAATAAAAAAAATAAATGTACGTAATTTATTTATTTATTTTTTAAAACACCCTCCCTTCTAAAAAATATTCCGCGCTTGCGCGAAAACTGGTGGGCGGTAAGGACATTTTTCCATCAAGAAAGATGCATTAGTTGGCGGTAAGTGGAAAAAGGTTGACTACCACTGGTATAGACCAAGCATGTGAAACTCAAAGTCTAACACGGGCCAAATGAACAAGGTTTAAGTTCATGTGAGCTGCAAAAAAAAAAAAGTGCTCAACCTTGACCTTATTTTATATTTTTTTCTGCGACCTTGACAAACACAAACTAAAATAACTTGGATACATATAAATAATTTACTTGAAAGCTTCACCTCAAGTTACTTACTGTCATAGTAGTAATACCATTGTCTGGAGTGTGGTTGCACACTCCACTCCGCTCGCTTCTACCCCCCTTCTATCCATGTCTCTCTCCCCACCCATCCATATTTCTCCCCTCCCATCTGTCTCTCCCCTTGTTTCCTCTCCCCTCTTCCATAAAAAAATAAAAAAATTTTTTAAAAAAGAGTTCGACTAGACAAACACAAACTAAAATTACTTGTATCATTCTCATGCAAACAATATGTAATCCTGGGTACATATAAATATTTAACTTGAAAGCTTCGCCTCAATGTCACAGTAGTAATGCCACCGTCTGGAGTGTGGCTGCACACTCCACTTGGCTCGCTTCTACCACCCTTCCATCCATGTATCTCTTTCACCTTCCATTCATGTCTTTCTCCACCCATCCATATTCCCCCCCTCTCATCTATGTCTCTCCCCCATGTTTCCTCTCCCCTCTTCCCTCCGCGTCTCCTTTCCTTCCATATCTCTCCCCCCTACATCTCCCTCCCTCTTCTATTCATGTCTTTCCCACACATTTCCTTCCCATATCTCCCCCGCTTCCATTCATATCTCCCCCCAATGTCTCTCTGTCTACCCATTCCATCCATGTCTCTCTCCCCATCCATATCTCCCTCACTATCCATTCCATCCATGTCTCTCCCCCATCCATATCTCCCTCACTATCCATTCCATCCATCTCTCTCCCCCAATCCATATCTCCCTCACTATCCATTCCATCCATCTCTCTCCCCCCAATCCATATCTCCCTCACTATCCATTCCATCCATCTCTCCCCCAATCCATATCTCCCTCACTATCCATTCCATCCATCTCTCTCCCCCAATCCATATCTCCCTCACTATCCATTCCATCCATTTCTCTCCCCCAATCCATATCTCCCTCACTATCCATTCCATCCATCTCTCTCCCCCAATCCATATCTCCCTCACTATCCATTCCAGCCATCTCTCTCCTTCAATCCATATCTCCCTCACTATCCATTCCATCCATGTCTCTTCGCCCATCCATATCTCCCTCACTATCCATTCCATCCATCTCTCTCCCTCAATCCATATCTCCCTCACTATCCATTCCATCCATGTCTCTTCGCCCATCCAATTCTCCCTCACTATCCATTCCATCCATGTCTCTCCTCTATCCATATCTCCCTATCCATGTCTGTCCCTGTAACAGAACTCCCCGTACTCCAACCGAGCACCTTCCGTTGATGGACGCTTCCTAGTTTGCGCCGAGGACCACAACCACCGTAGCTTAACTGGAGTCTCGCCATCTTCTGTCCACCCTGGATCAGCTTCTGTCCTCCAGGACCGTGTGGGAGAGACCTCTTCTCCAGGAGAGCGTATCAGGAACAGCTCTTACAAGAGCTAAGTGATTAAAGCTCAGGGGAGTATACAGAGCATAGCAATCCCCAGTGGGAGTATAGCTGCCCCCTCCAATCACGAGACAAGACTACGTGTTGAGGGTCAAGAAGAACTGAGCTTTTAATGACAGGTACTCTCCTTTTATGCACTGCTCCCAGACACCCACAGACAATTAGACATTGACCAATCATACAATGTTTAGAACCCACAGATTCCCTCCCCTCTGCTTGGGAGATAATTGAGTTACTTACTGTATATACTCAATTATCTCCAAGCTGAAAAATTACACTTTTTATAAATTTTTATAACTCCTTGGTCTTACATCGTACACTTATATTTTTATAACCAGTATAACTTGGGGACAAACATATCCAAAATTCGCGTTCAGGGTTTCCAGAGATAGTAAAAAGTCTCTTTGCGGCCGGTCTATTTCTGCACTGAAAAATAACTAAGTCCTATTCGAATGAAGCGTTCGAATAGTTGAACGCACTTCGACTTCTTTCGAAGTGGAAACGAAGGTAAGGTTCAGCGGTGTTTGTGCCGTCGTGTAGCCGATTTCAGTTCCAGAGATTTGACGGCACACATCGCTGACCGCATTCGACTGAATTAAAATGGCCGCCGCCACGTGTTCGTTTGTCGAATGGCAGCCACTTCGACTGTATTCGAAGTGCCATATAAAAAGTACCAATCCTTTCCCAAAACATTTAAAGGGCCAGAAACAGTCTTTTAAAAGTCCATGAGACCAAAATAATGATTTAAAAGGACCATACACCCCAGGGCCATAGTCGCAGGGTAGGAGGCTGGCAAGCAAGCCTCCCCAGGACCAAGTGGCGAAGGGCACTTCGTCACACTCCCCTATCCATATCTCCCCCCCCACCTCCATTCATGTCCCCTCCCTACCCCTTCCATTCATACTCCCTCCTTCTCGATTTTTAAGCAGCCTCGCAGAGGCTCTGCTCTGCCCTATTGTTAGATGGCCCACCTTCCTTCCATTTTATCTCACAGGGGAGGGGGGGCTCTCACTCTTCGTTGGCACACTGACAGACTGAGTGCCGGGTAGTCACGTGACACCTGGTGCTTTTATGCAGTGCGGGAGGGGAAGACGCTCCCCCTCCCAGTGTACAGTGCATGCAGTGCCCTGGGGGCACAGGTCGAGGCAGGCACAAAAATCACTTGTCAATCTATTTTTGCACCCCCTTGACCGGCGCCCCTAATTGGCTGGGCCGCAAAGAAGGTTATTGTGGGCCCGCGCGTTTGACATGCATGGTCTAGACCAGGCATAGGCAACTTTCGGCACTCCAGATATTTTGGACTACACCTACCATGATGCTTTGCTAGCATTATGGGTGTAAGAGCATTATGGGGGATGTAGTCCACAACCTCTGGAGTGCCAAATGTTGCCTATCCCTGATGTAGACCATCCTTCAAAACATTTAATTTAGATTGCAATAGGCAGTCCTCCACCTCTCCACAGCGCCAACAGTATTAGCTTGACAGGCCCCTTGCAAAAAGAGTGATTGGGGTCTGGTACAGATTTTAGTACAATCGACATACAATAGTGTTGCCTGCAGGTCAACTATTTGTTCGGGGATGGGGGGACGAAATATACATAGTTGGCCAACATATTATAAATTAATATAAAGGCATTACATTTGGGGTGGCTCTTCCTTACAATATAATTCAAATGTTGAAATTTCTTCTCTGAGAGATACTACTTTGGTGGGTGAGTGTGTGGAGGAACATCTTGTGTTTGGAAACATCTGACAGAGGCATCACAGATTGTGAATCCCACCACACCATTCCTGCTTTAGTAATAGTCTATGTATCCCGATAGGAAAATCTGGGTTATCACATAGAGGTAACATTGGGATCGGATCTGTGGCCCCACCGATGCCTGAACGACACTATCGTTAGAACATATGGGTTAGGATTGGCAAGTCATCTTCTGCATTTGGCCCAGAGCCATTGAAGAGCCGCCAGATCAACTGAAATGAGTGTCCTCTTCAATGAGACCCAGAGTTTGGTTGTGCCACCATGGCTCCAGTGAAGAACCTGGGAAAGGTGTGCCACCACATTTTACTACTTAAAATCAGGTAACACCAATTGTAAGTATGTCAGATGCGGAAGTTTACGTTGTCATACAAAATCTCTGATAGCCCTCCTGAGCTGTTTGAAGTAGAACGGGTGGATTGTGATCGCAATAGTTTTAAATAGGAATAGTAAGAGTGGGAGCAGCTGACAATTTAACAGCATTGATCCGTTCTAGCCATTAAATGCATTGATAGTCCCATTTATTCAGACCTGCCTCTACTGAGGAGAGGGTGAAGGAAAAATGTGTCTGGAATAATGCTGAGAGGTCCTGAGTGAGTCAAATCCCCAAGTATTGCATACAGGTGGGGCAGCAATGGAATGGGTTCCCTCCATCCTCTCCATGTGAACTCATGGGGTAACGATATTGATAATTTACAGTTTTGAACAGTTAATGTTAAGGTTGTAAATAGCTCCTTAAGTGTGAGAACTCATTCAGGATTGCTCTCAGAGTAGGTGTCAAGTTTGTAATTACAAACAATAGATTGTTAGCATAGGTGATTACTTAATGAGACACCTCTCTAACACTTAATTCAGCTCTAAGGAATGACTCTAGAGGACAGGGCAAACAACACTTGGACAGTGGGCACCCATGTTTAGTACCATTTTGGATCTCAAAGGGATCCGAAAAGGCACTGTTTATGCAAAGTCTCCCTGAAGGATGAGTATATAAGGCTGGTATCAAAGTCAAATTCCCTCAAGGTAGAGAACATGAAGTCCCAGTCCACCCTGTCGAAAGTCTTCTCAGCATCTGTGGAAAGTAGGAGACCTGCCTGTATTTTGGATTAGGTCAGTCTGGTATGCAAATACTTTAGGTTCTCTCTGTAATGGCACATAATGAGCTAAAGCCAGCTTGAGAACCGAGCAGGGACCCCACCGAAGGACAAGCTATTGCCATTCTCTTGAACATAGTTTTTTTGGCTCTCCCTAAGGTTTTACTAATCCAGTTGTGGACCCTTTACTCACTGTTCCTACAGGCCTAACAAGGCTGAAATACTCATCTTGTGTTGCTGTATCTTTTGTGCAGAGGGTGACCTGGCCTGCATTTGTTCCAAACTCTGGTTTAGGTTCTCTCACCAATGGCACAAGATGAGCTGAAACTGAGAACTGAGCTGTGACCCACCAAAGGGCAAGTTATTTGAGATGCTGTCTGTTCTCAGTATTCTCTTGCAACCTGTTTTGTTAGATCATAAATATAACTTCTAATGATGCAAAAAACGAGGTTCAAAAAAATTTATACTTAGCTGATATCCATGTAATACTGTTTGGGCATAAAAAATAAAAAACAAAGTAGCAATAACAAAAAATTATATGACACTGTATAATAAATGTTGCACTGAACACAAGGCAAAAATTAACAATGTGAATATCAGCGTTTGAAGATCCTCAAGCGAAAAAATAAATTTAAAAAAAATCGAATAATATTTGAGCTCAACCAACTCTCCAATATAAAAAAACACCTCTCCTTAAATCCGGGACAGTAAAATGAAGGCCGCATCTGACAGCAATAGGGGCATTCAAAGTGTTACATTAACAGCACCAAATCCCAGTGTGTGGCCGAAACGGCTCTTTATAAAGTTGGGCAACTCTAAAAAACTAATCCCAGCAGCAACAAAAAGGACCAAATGCTGTTGGTGAATAAAAAAAATAAATAAAAAGGGATAATAAAAAATATTGCACAAATAAAATATTAATATCAATAAAAAGCGTTGAAAGTAAAAATGGCAGTATTGGTGTGTTCGTGCAGCTGTACATTTAGATACTTCCAAAGTCACTCGAGGCATATTTCGCACTGTTAAATAAATATAACTTAATTTACCGATTTACACAAAGATGTCCTGTTCCCCTTTACATTTCAGCTAAATGCCTTTTCCAAGGAAGAATCTGGTTGAGTTATATTTATGATTTAGTTACAATATACATTGCAATATATTATTTTATATAAATATATATATATATATATATATATATATAAAACAATATAATATGCTGCAGTTTTATACATATATAGTAATTTATTGGATACAACACAAGGATTTTTTTTGGCATATGGTTAAACTCCCATTTGGAGTGCTGGGTTTAAACAGCCTTGGAAATATTGATATCGTAAAATTTGTGTGTGTGCATATTCATTCTTCATGTTATTATTTATAACACTACAGTTCTAAGAGAATTATGCACAGAAAATAAAAAGTATGATTTACTCATGTATTGTAAATAAATCATAAGAGAACCAGAAATAATTTTTTTTCACAAATAATGTAACCATCTTAATTTCAGCTACCTGTTATATATATATATAAAAAAAATGCACATTAATATACAGATATTTGGAAGCATATATTGACGTCAAATATAAAAATAATGATAAAAAAAGACAAACAAACAAGGTATAGTGAACATGGCTATTTATAAAGCCACAGCATACAAATAATGCATAGATAAATGAACTCTTACTAACACATTGCCATTTAATCACACATACACACCACATACATACTTTTTTGGCCGTAAAAAAAAGTGATTTTTCTTTTTTTAATTACAATCGATTTTACAAAATAATTTTTAAGTTAAAATATGCAAAGCTATTTTTAAAACAAAATATCTGCAAAGGATTTCCATTTTCCCATAGATCACTGTTCCTTCTGCCTTTTCATGAGATATTGACATTTTAGAGACCATGATTAAATGTTTGTACAGTCCGTACATTTCTAAAAAGGCAAACATTAGCAAAGTGAGTCATCTGGCCGTGAGCAACATAATGCAAACATCTGCAGTGTACAGGTTAGACATCACTGGATTAGCGTGAGCAGTTTTGAGATACTAGCGTAATTGGTTGACGTGCAGACATATGAAATGTATTGAATATCACGCCTAACAAGTGTCCTCAGTGACTGTCCCTAAACTGTGACTATCAGGAATGCATGCTCATATCTCCCAACAGTCCAATGATCTGGAATGTGTACAGCTGTCCTGGTTTGATCAAGTTACCATAAGGCATTGGTTGGATGCGTCATTAGATGTACCCATGGGCACATATTTATAGTGCCCACTCCCCTGTTTCACACCTACTAAATTTCAACAGGTATGCATATAGAATTTTACATTTCAGGCCACAATAGTCAACTCTGAAAAATTAATCAAGTCTGCTATGTTTTCAGTACAACTAGTTTGGCCAGAAACTTGAAACTCACGTTGAAGTTGTCACAACTGATGCTTTAATGAATAAATGTGTTTGTGATGGACAGTCTCACCTCCCTAGTGGCTCATTCTTAAATAAGGGGCTTATTCACTAAACAGCATGTGCCTACAATAAATCCCTTTAACCTTTATTGTTTCAGGAGTCTAATGTTCCCTGTAGTTTGTGGTTACGTCTAATAAATCAATATTTTAAAACACTGTATATTAATAAAGTGAGCTGGCATATTATCAGATTATGTTGTACACGGTGAGGCAGCATAAAAGCATTATTTAAAAATGCATTTATATTTACAATATATTTCCTTTGTACTGTGCCATAAAACGTTATTTTGTCCTTGCGCATAGAAAGTGCCACGAAGTGAGTTGAGTGTTTGATTGGTCAGTGTACTTCTCACTACAAGGTTCATTAGTTCATTAAACAGTAATTGGTGGCTTTGACAAACAACTAGAATTTTCCAACTTCCTTTTTTTTATTATTATCTCGTAGGAGACCTCAGAGGGGTAGATAAGTATCCACTCACATTATTCAAAATCTCCCTTATCCTAATGAACCTTGCTACGTAACATAGCCAATAACATGCAGCTGAACGGAGGTCGAAACCCGACCGCTTTTACATTTTGCATCTGTGAAAACCATACTTAAAAACAGAGGCACTACCAGTAAGGGGAGTTACATGTGATTTGCTCACTATGGCAAAGGCAACAAATTAGGATAGAAATTAAAAATAATATATATGTATATTTACATAATACAAACTGCCTTCTTTAATGTGGAGCACAGTGTGGGCTAATATATCCCCTCATGACCAGTCAGAATTGGGTAAAGGTACTTTCTATCAGAAATTGTGTAGCCTTTAATGTTATGTCGGCATATCAGTAAAGGAATATCCTGCACTCATATTTTCAATAATAGCCTTTTATTGGCAACCCAGATAGCAATGTTTGGACTGTGTGTCTTTTCAAGCAGTTAAAAAGTTGTGATCTGGTTTATATTATTGAAAATCTATGGAGTTCCAGATATTCTTTCCTTTATGGAAGTGGGTACAGGTACGACGGAAGCAGCTTTTTGTTTATTAATCCTATAGGTGAGTGTTCTTCCCTGATGGACTTTTTAAAATATCAGTAAAGGTCAAGAGGGTGAAAATTATGTACAGTTGAAAAATTTCACTTATACATTTGCTAGCACTTGACTGATCAAACATAGAATAAAATGTATATCTTTTTAAACTGACATCAAGCTGATAATCACGAAAGGTGCACATTACAAAATTGGTTTCTAGATGAGAGGTCACATTGAATAAGTCATTTACCAAGTTTCCTCTTTGACAAGAAAATGTAATCCAAGCAGATATTCGTAATTGCAATACTTTACAAGAGTTCTCAACTAAAATGTTCTGGGTGTCAAGCTAGTGCAAATGAAATATAAGGACTTTGTTCAACCTGGTATCCCAAATGGAAGAGGAAGCATGGTCTGCTTCACAACTATCCGGAACGGTATCCCTATTTGTGTGGCTTCATCTTTAACTTTAAGTACTCAAGAGATGTATATCACATACCAAAGATATGATGTAAAGAGCCGCTATGATTAACTATTGCTACTGTTATATTACGAAGGATACTATTCATATGGCAAGGGAACGGTTAGACATGTACTCAAATAAAAACCATTTTTTACAATATGGCTACATGAGTTAGACGCAATTCCCTTTCACTTAGGTTAAGTTTATACTATAACTTTTCAGATCTAGCAGCTGTAGTCTCCACACTAACCTCTGCTTGGCACTCTCTGCCGAACAGCCGAAATCTGGTCACGAAAACCAAGAAGAATGCATAAGTGAAACGTATACATTCAGGTACTCGAGAGAGAATTTTGGGGAGCTCAATGCAAATTTCAAATTTAACGACAAACAAGCCAAACCGGAAGACTAGTTGAATTGAAGACTTTTTCCAGTTTGGTTACTTTGAAATTATGACAAACCTCTCTAGCCCTGACAAGCCTATTCACTAAAGTGAGAATTCAGAGGGATTTTTAAATGTCAGGTTGGAATAGTAGAACGGAATGCACAGCTGACTTTTTCAAATCTAGCTATTTCTACGTTACATTTGAAATTTACTTGGAATTCCCACTTAAATAATCCTGTGACTGCCTTCTAAACAATTCTCGGGGCTTCTGTAATAGGATAAAAACATTTCTAAAGATTGAAGGCTCTTTAAGCAAATCTTTATAAGGTAATTGTAAAGCTCTGTTGAAGAAGGGGTATTCATTTTGGGACAGGAATATCAGCTCACAACGTTCCCTAAGGCACAGCACCTTAAAAGTGTACATTGCATTTTAGTGCTATTTCTGAACCATAACTGGCTATTTAATTACAGTTTAGCTGATGGGAATCATCACTTCAGCTGAGAAGCACAAAATCAAAGGGATTCTGGAATTCCAGTTGTGGCAAATCAAGTAAATGATGTAACTCTGCTTGGTATGAATATTATTTACATCATGGGCATGATACCTTTGATGAGAAAGAATACAATTTGTGTTCTCACTGTATCTTAGTAAATTAGGTTTAAACGGTTTGCAGATACAAGGAATTTCTTTAATAAGCCTTTGACTAGTGCTGTAGCACTAACCTTCTCAAAAACAAAGATCATATTCATCTTTATTTTTTATTCAGATTATATTTCTTTTCTAAAAGCTGATTGAATATAATTCGTTTTACATTATACCTGGGCAAACGGTGGTACCTTTCACTTTTTTCAAAAATTTTCAAGCCTTAAAAAAAACAAAAAGGGGAAATCAATCTCCAAATTTTAAATGAATGACTAAATTTCTGAATGCCACTATTGCTGGCTAATTGCTCTGATGAGTTTACATGGAATAATCTGTGAACACAATTAGAGCCAATATTTCCTTGTATTTGCAAGGAACGTTTTAAGAGAACGTCTCTAGATGTTATTCTGTTTGTATTAGGGGTACGTATCACTTACTATTGGTTTGTGCTTTCTAAAATGTGTAATTAACGTCTCCTGCATTGATTGTACAGGATGTGACAGCACTTTTGTGGACATTTATAAAAACGTGGCTGTGGAAATAGGATGAGAATAATGCGTACATTATGCCAAAATGAAAAACATTTAAAAAAAATCAAATGAAGGGAGGTTGATTAA